AGAGGATGATACAAGTTTGAGATGGGAGATGAATCAATATTGGAAGAGAGATGTTGTAATATTTTCCTTTGAATATGACCGCTTTCCTAAATCAACAAGACATGTAAATTCTGAGCTATGATAGCTCAAACCCAGTGCATTTCCATCTTGATAATAGATCGTAAGTACTTTTTTTTTCGCACGATTCAAGAGATTCGCTTGAAACACATGATGAGTGAGATACTAAAGCCGTGAATGAAGTATAAATTGTATTGTACATTATTGCGTTTATGAATACAGAAATCTGCAGAGTCGTTCGTTGCAACGTCGTAGGACCCCCCTTTATAATCCATTTATCCGATTTTTAAACCTCGGTGTGGCCACACTACCAAAAAAGCCGAATATAGCTTCGACACCCTTCCCACGAGCGTATTCAACAGCATCATAGCTGACCTTTTCGCATTTTTGCAAGTCGATCCAAGTAATGCCTTGATCAACAAAATGCTTCACGGCAACACCGGTGATCTTTGTACAACTGATATCCAGCGTTTTGAGGTTTGGACATTTGTCTACAATACGTATAAAGCGCGTCTCATCGTACTGTAGACAGCTCACACCTAGTTCTTCAAGATTCTCGCATAAAGGAAAATCATGGTGAGCGGCTGCATAGTCTCCGACAAGTCGACTTCCTATATGCAAGTGCTTGAGATTGGGGGCATTTTTGATAATAGCAACAATCATTCCATCGCTGAGTCCAGTATTTTCACAGTTGAACGTCTCCAAGAGTGGAAGAAGAATGGTATCGTCTTCCTGATTGGATAATCGCATGTTTTGTCTCAGAGAAAGGCGTTTGAGCGTCGATGGAAATAAGGGGAGGCTTCTCAGATAGCAAACTACAAGTTCAAGATCTTCCAGACCCTGCAGCTGGCGCAAATCCAGTGGAACCGTACCCTGTAAGTTAAACCCGTTTAACGCTAAGGTTTGGATATTGGGAATTGATTCGAATAAATTGTTCTATAGAACATATTAGAGCCATTGCGTATAGAAGCACATGAAGGAAACAAATTAAAGATTATTACCAGTGATATATCAGCGCCCTCCTTCTCTAGGCGTAAAACCCGCAGGGTTTCTAACTTTGGCCATATGCACAGGGAATTTGACGGATGACAACGAACACTCCCAAATTCTGCTGCCACGATCGTCGCCTGTACAAGCCGTAAAGATTCGAGGGCAGAACGAAAATAAATTTGAGAGGTCCATGCAGTTTTCAGATATTGAAGAGACTTCGCCAGAGGAAGCGCCGAGGTTAGGGTTTCTCCTATAGGATTATTGCCACATATTGTAAGGCGATGCAATTTTGTACAAGTTCTAGTCAGGTACTGCAATCTGGCGGGATCAATGGTATTGTTTCTGATAGTGGCTTCATCGACTGTGTAATTGGATCTTCTTAGGTATGCTCTTAAAGCTCTTTGGGAAATTAGCTTTCTGGTAGTACTCGTGTCGAGTGTGGTCCAAAGTTTATGAAAAGATTCCAATACACTTTTCCACGACTTGCTGACACTCAGACAAATCCTTTTTATGATTAGCCAGTATCGATTAAAGAGTTATTCTTAACATACATTCGTTCTCGTACGCTGAGATGTTTGGCTATCATTTCTGCCAGTTCTAAGGGTAAATAGGAGAGTGGATCTCGCGTCTTCCGAGGCGCTTGCGACTTCTGTAATTTATTGAACATGGACTGAAGAGTCTTTCACTCGATGTGTTAACAAAGTCATAAAGCGTGTATCAATAATCAGTAGAGCTTACCACGCGATCTTTGTCAGTATTAGTTCCAACTTTGACCTTTCCGAGGCCACGCTCGTAGATTTTCAAGGCCAGTTCATGCTCTCCCTTGAGCTGCAATACTTTCCCACATCGAAGATATCCCTAAAGATCAGTCAATCTCAATTAATCATTTTAGGAGCGACGGCAACTCACTTTGGAAAGTTCTGGCTTCAGTTCAAGCATTTCCTTTGCATCTTTAAGGGCTGATTGTAATTGACCCAACTTCTCAAACGTAGCGGCGCGATGATCCAAAGCAGTGAGTAGTAGATGATCGGTACTAATTCTCATAGCCTTTACACAAGATTAGCGGTCCGAAGTTTGCTATTTTGATATCTGAAGAAGAGCATGACTGCCTGGTACGTGGAACCGTAGACATACCTCTGTGAATGCCACCACAGCGCCTTGGTAGTTCTTCTTCTGGTAGCGATGACGTCCTTTCTCCGAAGGCCCCATACCTTCCTCTTCATCATAAGCAGGAGGCATGTTGATCACTTAATATGATTTATGGATAGAAATAAATGTTGTGTTGTCGATGGAAAGTGTTCAAAGAAAGTTAAGCTTTAATGGACGTGACTTGGTTTCCAAACAATACGGAGTAGAAGGCAACAATGATTGGGTGATGCTGCGGGTATTCTTCGGCATGAGCGATTACATAAACACATCGGATGCCGAGGTGTTCGAGTCCGATGGGAACATCTCTCTTCCAAAATGTCACAAGAAGATTATTCTATAGACTTGGTTTTAGAGAGTATTGAGACTATAATGGCTTCAGAAAGACAGCCAAAAGTGTTATTATTTGATATTGGGGGCGTATGCGTTAGTAATGATTCCTTCCTTTTTTTTATGGTGGCTGCATATGAAGTTGGAAACACCAGGTCAATCTCTTGAGGGGAGGAGTGTTCAGTTCAGGATTCAAGATTGAAGTTGTATGGAAATGCTTCGTTTTCTATATCGAATACCAGTATCTACCTATGGAGGAATTGACGAGAAGTTTCGTTGATCACTTTCTGAACGTATGGCATACTTTCAAGTACCATATTTATCAAAGACTAGAGATACTTTGAGCGGAACAATATTAAGCCTTTAGTGAGGTCTTATTCTCTTCCCATACATAGCATTCATCCTTGATACTTCCAAATATTTTAATCTGACCAGCTCCGTCCGACACAGTCCCTAACTAACCACCCCTCCCAGGTTCTCTCACCCATGCAAGCAATTCTCGACTTTGAGATATCCAACAACATACCCCCAGGATGGATCAACCACTCCATCTCCCAAAACAAACCCAATGGATTCTGGTAAGCAGTCTATCTGTATAACCAAAAATAGCCTCCCTCCCTACTAACTCCCTCCCTCATTCAGGCACCGTCTCGAACGCGGCGAATTAGAACTAAACCCCTCCTGGTTCTCAGGATTCACCTCCGACCTTCACAATCCCACATTCTGGGCCTCCTTTTACAATTCCGTGCGAGAAAAACACTCACTCCCCTCTGAAATCCCACCCGTACCTCAGATTGACGGAGAGGCTCTTTTTTGGTCTATGATGGATAATTCTCGAGAGCTTGATCCTTGGTATGTTTCACCCCATCCATCCATCCTCCGCTTTCGACCTCATTACCTCTGTAGTTCCCAATCTTACCACTAAAATAGGATGTACCCCTGCCTCCAAAAACTGCAAGAATTCCAAAAATCCATCCTAGCCGGTCTCTCCAACACCGTGATATTCCCCCCCAATCATCCATACTCAAAACCAGCACCCTTCATCTCCGAAATCTTCGATGTTTTCATCTCCGTAAGCATCCATCCACACGCCTTCCCAACCAGTCAGTCTCCCTCAAACTAACAACCTCAGTCCGCACACGTCCACATCCGCAAACCCTCTCCGGAGATATACGCCCTAACCCTGCGCACTCTTCGCGACAAATTTCCCTCTTCTCCTCCCCTGCTCCCCTCCGACATCCTCTTTCTAGACGATATTGGCGAAAATTTGAAAGCTGCTAAAGCATGCGGTTTCCGCACGTTGAAGGTGGAATTAGGACGTGCGTATGAGGCTGTTGAGGAACTAGAGAGTATTACCGGGTTAGAGCTGGCGGGAGGACACCCGAAAGTACCGATTGTGCTAGGCATTGAGGGGAAGGGAAGGAGGGACGTTAAATTGTAGGGAGATGGGGAGAAGGTGAAAAGGCGGAGGGGCGGAAGAAGTGGATATTTAAGAAGAATTTGTAGATTTAAAGATAGATAGTAGATATATATAAGCAATATTATGCTATGAAGTGATGGACAAAGGAATGAACGGTAACTAGGTAGGTATTTAACCCTTTTTAAAAAGCGCCTCCCGCACACGCATACATATATTTAACATCAAAAAATGGTATAAGAAACAAAAAGGCCCAACCGTACTTCTCTATACAATCAATCCACTTTCATAACTTCATGAACCAAGGATAACAAAAGCTCCAATCCGTGACGCCTCACTATGCCTAAGTATGCACATCATTTTTCCTGCCTGGGTGATCCTACCCCCCCTGAAATTAAACTCTCCAGTTCCCACGGACTCAAAGTACTTCTTCTCCTCGCCGCTCTTCCATGATCCCTATCCCTACTCGCTCTCACTTTTCTCTTCCTACTTGATACGGCACTCATGTCCTTTTCTGGACTTTTCACTGTCGTGCTACAAGTACTGCCACTTTTGACCGGTTCCTCTTTGACAGGCGAAGAAGGTGGGGGCATTAATCTCGTAACTTCTGGTTCTTTCTTTTTACTTGGACTTCTGGACCGCGGGGCAATTGTGCTGGCAGTAGAGGTAGCATTACGTCCTAGTTTTGCAGCTTTCAATTTAGCCTTCACTCTTGCAGCGTCTGCTTCTCGTTCCGAGGCGGCGAGTTTGGCGGCTATGCTGGCCATAGTGAGAGGACTTTGTTGAGGTGGTATGTGGGGTGGCCGAGGTAAGCGACTTGCGGACGTAGGGGGTTGGAGTTGGACTTTTGGGGTGGCTTTTGGTTTGGGGGTTGAGTGGACGACTTTTTTAGCCGAAGCTGCTCTTGCAGCTGAGGATCTTGTCTCTCTTACGGCCGAAAATCTGGTTGAGGAATGGGCGGAGAGCGCTGGAGTTGGGGTTTTAAGGAGGGCGGTTTCGTCTGTGGATGGAATGGAGAGTTGTATTATTTCCTTTTTCTTTTCTTTCTTAGGGAGGGGTTTAGTTGTTGGGGCCGACATAGATTTGGGCTGAGTTGAGGATTGCTCGAGTTGTAAGAGATCCCAAGTATTCTCTTCCACAATAGTGGTAAATCCGTCGGGGCTTGGTCTTGTGGGACTACCTCGGTTCCCATTGGTTGTTTCGCAAAGAGGGGACATTTTAGGAGGTGTCCCTGGCAGGGATGATACTGTATCAAATGTGATATCTGCTGTTTGTGGTTGTTCCTCGGAGACTTCATCATAATCTTCTTGCTCATCGGCTTCCATTTCCTCTTCTCTTGTTTCCTCAGGCTCTTCTTCAAACATGCTAGAGTCAACATCGCTTAATTCTTCCTCGTCATCAAATTCGGGCTCCGCATGGCCACCGATGCCTGAATCATTCATGGCATCAATATCTGCTTGTGTGTCGCCTTCGTCCTCATCTTCTTCATCAGCTTCTTCATCTTCTTCATCTTCTTCATCTTCTTCCTGTACCATGGATAACTGAAGGACTTCGTAATTGGATTCTGCAGAAGGTTTGAAAGGGCTCAGGCTTAATCCCAATTTCAATTCCTCGATATTGACGGTTTGACCACTCCTAGCCATTCTGTTGCGCCATCCATCCATCATAAGCACAGCATCCTTCCATCTGGACTCCATTTTTTCCCAGCCTTCTCGTAATCTTATGATCTCTTCCTCTCTAACCTCCACTTCTTCTAACGAGACAAACGATGGATTTGTCAGGATCGTTCGGAGATGCTCAATTACGAACTCCATCCCAGAAGCAAGATGCTCATAAGAACTCTCCATGTGTATCACCATCCCAGCATCTTGTTCCTCCTCTTTTTCACAACCAGAAACCATTCTCAATGTCTCAATGGTCCTTCTCACCAACCCCCCTAACGATTCGTTCTCATCACTCAGCCCTCTGGCCAACTCAGTCAAAAATTCATTCGTCTCCATCTTCAAATCATACCCCTCATCTTCCGTGCCCATTTCTGCCCCGCTCCCATTATCACCTCCAACCCCAGCGACCACGTTAATAGTCGCAACACCAACAGCTTTTCCACTGCCCCTTGCTCTCCCACCTTCCCCAACGTGTTTCTTCATTCCCTCAATAACTCTTTCTTTCTTCCTAACCTCATTCGCACACTGCGCCCTTGTCTGTCCCACCAATATCTTCATCCTCGCCATATCCTCCTTCAATCCCCTGATCGCCTGCTCTCCACTTCTCAGCTGCGTCTTCAAAGCCCGTTCCGTCGCATCCGCTATCCCAACCTTCCGTTGTAATTCGATATTCTTCGTCGTAAGTCGCTCTGTATCAGTCGTCGATCGTGAAGCATCTGCGTGCAAAGCTCGGATTGTCTGAGAGAGATTTTCCCGTTGTTGGGAATCCCGCTATTAACTTTCCGTCAATTTTAATTCTTCTGTATAATAGCCCCAGGCTTAAGTTTTGCTTCTGATACTTACATCTCTCCTCAAAATTAGATCATTCACGACGCTCATTATCTTTCCCATGGTGACATCCAATCCCTCTTTCGATTTATGCGGGCGCGCAAAGTCAATTGTTTGTCCATTTCGTAGGAGTCCTCGAAAAAGAAGTTGGTTGTTGATGTATAGAGACGCGGTGCGCAGATTATCTGCATCCATTTTTGCTGGCTCGAATTTCAATTATTGGATATGGGCCCCTAGAGATGCTCGGAGGTGTGTTCATGTGGAGATTGATTGATGTTGGATTATGTCGTTTTGATCTTCTTCGTCGCACGAAGCTTCTGTGTTGTCATGTAAACAAACAATCGAGATTGCCAGGATAATCCGAGTGAGAATGGGTCAATGGCGAATGTTCTCGTGATCACGTGTGTGCCCTCCATTACAACCTCACCTAACGGCGGACATTCAAACACCACGTATATTCAACATCCATACCTGTACTCTAACAGACAATTGGTCACCACTTATACCGGTACTCTAACATACAATTGGACACCACTATCCCAACTTATCTCCCAGAGTCCAGCTCGCCCAGAGATGAAGGTTCAGGCGTCCGCTTCCTTATCGATCCGGACTATAAGTAATAAGATTGATGCAATAAATAACGGCAAAGCGAAATTTTGGTTTTGGTTTTACTCGAGTGGATTGTCATATAATGTGTTTGTTAGTTCTTGTAATTTAGGAATTGAATGAAGGATTAAGAAAGTCAATAGAGTGAGCCAAAAGAGGGGCGGGCGAGATACAAAGACGGGGAGGTAGATGAAGTGAAGATATATCTTCACATATCCTATCACCCATCAGAGTTACCCACCAGATTTGACCACCTCCTCCGAACATCTTCCATCTATCTTGTACACAGTATTTAAAACAAATCACCTCCTCATATCTCAAAAGAGCCTCGACTTCAGCAACAGTAACACGATCCTCTTTAGGAATCTTGGCGGAGGGACGTCAAAATAAGAAAAGCGGACAGCATCTTCAAAAATGATACATCTTACCGTAGATTCGAGAGTTCAAAGTGGTACTAGACTTTTATATTAGGGGGATATATGAGTACATGGAAACCCATTCATTCATCCTCCCTTCTACCTTCACCCTCACCCCATCTAAAAAGATCCCTAAGAACCCACCAGCGAAATAACCAAAATATCAATAAAACACAACAGCTTAAATAAAGCCACTTCAAATACAATTTCAAACCTTCCCATCACCAACTTAAACTCCTTACTTACTAGGTATCTAGGCAATTATAACAATGACCCGGAACCCAAATAACCTACCACGCCCTCCACCCCACTCATATATTCACTCCCTCCCTCGGTTCCTCGCCGCAAACCCCGCACCCCCTCCCAAAAATCAACCCAGTATCCAAAAACCCAAAATCAAAGCAACCAAACCAGCAAAAACAAAAAACCATGTCGGACGCGCGTCTAGGCGCCTGGAAAACCCCTTTGAAATGGGATTTTTTTACTAGCTTGAACCCATCGAGGGGTCATAGACTTCGCATCAAACACCCCACCCACCCGAAGGTGGTTACAGCGCAGTGATAATTATTGCCACTGAGCCAAGGCGACCGATGAGATGTTTGATGGAGGGTATGGCGGGGTTTGTATATTTATATGATGTGGTGTGTATGATATGATATGATATGATATGATATGGGTGGGTGGCTGAGCTCGCATTGCGTCGTCATTTTGATGTTTTGGGGGAGAGGATATGTTTTCTGTTGAGTTCATGAGTGAGGTTTCTACTTATTTATTGTTTTGATGAATTTTTCTCCTGATTCTAATGATCAATGTATTGGGATATGGAAACTTCGCTCAGACTGATGGGAGATTAGAAGATGGTATGTTGACACGGGAGCTTCAAGGCCTTACTTTTACAATCCACGGATTCGATCATGATAAAGAAGTGACTTTTTTCAAGAGTCTTAGGGAGAGCCTTTCCCAGTGTGAGTTTAATCAAAGAAAAACCTCAAAATTTTATCGCCCAGGAGTCATCAAAATTATTGTCACAATGAGAATCAGAAAAGAGAGTCAGTTCTTTTGATCAGCATAATTAAAGTTTAACTAATGAACGTGCTCAGCATCTTCTGAAAAGACTTGTGTGTGTATAAGGAAAGTATAAGTCAATTCATCATCAAAGTACTACTATATAACTACTCCCTCCCCCTGCTCCGGAGATGAAATCGCAGATTCCTGTCTCCATCACCCGAAAGAGTCCACCATTCAACATAAGGAAAATATCTAACACAAAAAGGGAATTCCGAGGCATTCTTCAATCTTCCATAACAACCATTAATCGTATATTCAATTCCACCACCATATCACTCCATATCCATTATCCACTATCCACTTTCAACCATCGCAAACAAGCCAAGATGCTTATTCGGAGTTGGTAGCGAGGGAGCGGGCGAAGCGGCGCTTGCTGAGGTTGTACTCAATCGCACGCTTCTTGGCACCAGCAGATTGGGTGAAAGCGACGGATCCACCGAAAGGACCAGCGAGAGCGCTGTTCTGGACCTTGGCGACACAGACACCGGAGGCACCACCGACAGATCCGGCACATGTCATGCCAGCTGGCATTTGAACAGCCATTTGGAAATCCATGGTCTGAGCGGCGGAGAGACCACCGATACCGATACCTGGAACGTTCTGGGTGACTGCAGCTTTCTTGAAGGCAGATGGGTCGGTTCCACCGGAAGTGGGGTCAACCATTGCGGTCAAGGGTCCGGCACCGTCTTGATTGACTTGATGGAAGGTCATCTTGACAGTTCCATCATCGGCGCAGGTGGGCATTCCAGATGCGGCACCAGCACCAGCAGCAGCCTTGACTGCGGTCTCTGATGTACCGGATGGGGTCTTGGTACCACCATTTGCGGCACGGACGACGAGGGCGCGACGAGCCATGCTGGCGGCGTGAACCTCGCGTGCTGCCACGGTCGCAGTGCTGTTGGCATCGCCTCCCATGAACATGGAGATCATCGTGGAAGCGTCGACTGGACCAGTGGAGGTACGGCCGAGGGCAGTAGCCTTGGAGCTACCCATTTCCTTAGTTCTGATGATGGAAGTATCGGCCTCGGCACCGCAACCTGGAGATGGGCAATCACGAGGAGTTCCGTCGGCGACTAGATAAAAGTGTTAATGAGATGACGCTGGAAAGGAAAGACGGAGAAGCTAGAAGCGACTCCAAGAGATGAGAAAGCTTACCTGAGAGACCTGGCATGGTAACACCGTTGGCACCCTGGACTTCGGTGACGACACCGTGGGCGAAGACGTTGGTGGCAGCGAAGGCCACAAGGAGGATTGCTGAAGTGTATTGCATTTTGAAGGTTGTTGGTTGGTTATGGATTTGAAGAAATCTGGGAATTATTGAATGATAGTTTGTGAAATTAATTATAAAGCGACCGGCGCAAGATGGAAAGATTGAAAGGTAAAGTGAAGTGAAGAAAAGATGCTGATGATGAGAAAAAAATTATTCCACTGGGAGAATCAACCTTCTTTATACAAAATTCGACTACAGCAAGCAGTCAAAAAAGCTTGATTGAATTGAATGATTAGATGCCGAGCATGGGACTGCATTGGTGTGCTTAGCCTTGTTCTCTCCAGAACCGTTTCAAAACCAAAATTCATGAGGTTTGAACACTTTGGCGATACTACTCCGAGAAACCAAAGATCTGATCACAATTCAGACAGCGAAAATCGGACTAGGGACGCAAGTATCTCCCAAAGAACTTACTAGTTAATCATGCAATACTGGGGTGTGAGACTACCTGGGGACGATCTCGCATCTCATAGAGGTGAGCCTCTCGGATTTTCGTGTTTGCTTCTTTAATCTTGAGACTGATGCTTTGAGTGTTTGGTGTTTGCTCCTCTCCCAAAGCTAGGGCGACTAATACGGGTAACCGGTGGTGGCCATTGGCTTCTTACCTGTTTCAAAGCGGGCATGATCATAAAAATTAAGCTTGTTTCTACATCATCATTAGCTCCCAGGATGAGAAATAATGCCCATTGTCGGAAAACCCAGCCTCAAAATCGCATCAATACCTCCAAATGGTCGTAGCTGCTGCAGATCGTCAAACTCCCATGGCGACCGTGCGGTTGTCTGGGAACATGCAGCTCTAAAATCGTGAACCTCCAATGACCGTGTGTGTTTCTTCATTTGAAGTACATTTGGTGGGGAAGCCCGTTCGCAGACCTAGCCTGGACTGGAATTGTTGACGATAAAAAAAACAAATTTTCAGAAACACTCCTCTGTAGCATATTTGAACTCAGCCACATTGGTTTGAACTTCGGTTGCTTCACCGTCACAACTTCTTACAAGAACACTGATTCTTTGACAATATCTTCAACGTAGCCGCAAATTCCCGAGTATTAACTATTGTTTTGCTAATGATAGAGACTCCAGAGTCCAGAGTCCAGAGCATTACCCATCCAAAGTCCCAGATTTCCGGTTTCAATGTCTTTCATAAATTATCAATGACTATTTTCCGCTACTACCGGTACTCACCAAACGACTAAAGTCTCTTGCCGTTTCGGTAGATTATGGTCTGAATTAATTTCGATGATGTTGATCGTAGATTCGTAAACAATGCAAATAATGTAAACAAAGAAGTTTTGCAAAGATTTGCAAAAGATCGTCAATTTGTTCTGGCGGTATGGTGGTGTCGTGTTTCATTTAAAGTTCCAGCCTTCTACGAAAACCAGAAAAGAAATTAGGATAGAGTTTACCTGGTAGAGTCCGTGTTTGTTAGCTTAACACGTGACTGATAATGTTCCGCTATGGCATATACCACATCCATCGACGACGTTCATGGAGAGCACGATAAAAAGTAACCATTATGCCCATACTTCGATTCAAGAGTCGCAATCTTCAACTATACATTTCTTTCAACTCATCCACTCATCCATATGAGTTTATTGCTTCGGGACTTTTTATCCTCTCGCCATCCGACTCTTACGATAGAAGAAACTGCCAAGGTCAACTCGTACTCGAAAATGGCTTGTATATGGTAATGGCCCTGCTACGAGTTTCTCAGGTGCAAATTGAATCAATAAACTTACAAGTTTGCCTTCCTCGACTTGGGTCTTCGCCATTACTCCTACCTACTCCCTCGTGTACAACAATAATCAATATCATCTTTTTGCCTCTTTACGTACCTTATATTGGCCACGACGGCCATGGTAACGCCTCATGAGCAATCGACCACACACGTCCACTCATCTCGAGAGGTTGGTGGCTAATTTGAAGGGATGAATGAACGGAGCAACTCGTCTCCATCTTGACCAAAACAACATATCACACTCTCGAGATGATGTCTTTGCCACCGTTTATGCTGTTCTAATCACCAAATCTAACGTCATCGATGATTGAATCCCTTCTCCGCAATTGCCGCAGTGTAGTGGCACTTTTGAATCCTATCGCGTCTCCGTCTCGAGTAGCATTATGCCCAGCATCACGGTTCATATTCATGGATGGAGATAATTGCGATAGGTACCCCGTACGAGATATATCAGAATGCCTAACCATCCCGAGGTCGATATCAATTTCTTCGCTTTCGATCGCAAAGACACATCGCAATGGCTTCCCGTACGGTGTGGACTGTGTGGTGGAAAGTCCACAAGGAGAAGACAACATTGTGGGTTTGCTGACGATAAGCTGTCAACGGGACTTCCGAAGCACAACGAAAAATAATGATGAGTATATTGATCCTTTTACATCGACATCTATATGATAGACAGTAGTAGTTCCCATATGACTCGGTAATCAGCGAGAGGTAAGCCAGAGGATTATTGTTCAAGGTGTATATTCACGTGACCAAATCCCATCCAATTCCTAAAGAGGAATTCTTTTGCGCAATGGCACGTTAGAGGCAAATTGCGATGTCATCGACGGCAATTTCGTGTTTTTCAAGATGGTGAATATCGTATATAAGCCATTGAACGCTTACAATGTCCCACCAGCAATACTGGTGGTACGAAATACGTACGTACACGAGGTACGAAGACGATTGATATGAATCAGTTGATAGATTTCTCCGAGATTGAATCTCTTTCCACCACCCACCCGATGACGGCCCGATCCTACAGTGTCTACCAGGTCAATAACCCGTTTGTTACTGTTACAATGGATTATGGATGAGATACAGGCAAGCGGCGTGTGCAGTATGTACTATGTAGGTTCGTGAAGGAGCCGCATGACATGACCGGCTGAACTTGTTTGATGAAGTTCCTAGTCTGTCGATCTTTGCAGGTTCTAGAGCGAATACCCCAATTATAAAACTTGAAGTTTTCTGAGAACATTCGGAATGACCTCGACCTAGGTATTTTGATTGAAACCTGCATATCGATCTTAAACTAGTGATTATAAACTGATTCTCGATACATGATGGGAAAGCGATCTAAAAACAGGCATGAACAAGTGATAGATCTATCGATAGATTCGATACCGACCTTGACATGACTGGGTCAAACAAAGATTGTATTTTCTACAATCAATCGTCGCATTATCAAAGCTGCGTTTCCCTATAAAGTTCGTCTATCAATACCAACCCCTTCATCTATGTATTCATTCATTCGCGTATTTCGTACCAACCACCAATGTCGTCCCAATACATTCTACCCAGATATACAGACCATATCATTACTTTGCAAGCAGTCTCATCGGACGATTATGATGACTATGGCTTCAAAGAATTCCGCCTTTCCACTTTTTACTTGCAAGGAAATTCCCTACCGCATGGTTCATGATGGTAAATAAAAAACTTGTTATATCGGCTCCAAACTCCCAAATACAACCAGCTGAAAAATATCCACATGGTAGGTAATCGCGACCAATCAATGACCCCTAACTGCAATTATCCGAAGCGCTACCCGAGAGGCGTCGTAGAAATGAAGGATATGTGAGCTGAACTCAAGGACGATTTGTTCCATTCTTTGCCAACTTCACTACACCACAAACCGTATGATACATGTAGGGGAACCGTGAGTAAGAACACTGAGTGTAGGAAGTCGATTTGGATAAACTAACGAATCTGATGTTTATGCCACTTACTCACCTACTCACACGACCTTCCTTCCTTTTCTCTGCATCTGCATGACCGAGAATCCCCGCGAGCGAGGCGCAAGCGAGGATCAAAAGGCTTTCGTAAAGATGGAAAATTGTATTGGTTCCTAGATTACCAGATCCTTTGGACCTTGATCCATCTCATCCTTCTATCGATAATCAATGGGTATCTGCAGTAGCAGTACGCATTGCATAGCGCTTTCCGTACAGGGGGAAAAATGGATAAGAAATAGATAGGGCTTGGCATGGGCTATCTAAAAGGGCTCCCTACTGACAAGTTACAACTGTACTTGTACTTGCAAACCCACTACCCTCCCCTCCCATTTGAATCCCATCCCATTACCTACCATACAGTTCTATATTGCATGCAATAATTCACTCATCGGTCAAAAGAATCACATTTCCATAATACATCACCGACATTCTACTTGTTGGTTCAAACGCCGAGCTTACATTTTGTACGTACAAATATCCTTATGGGGCAGCATAACATTACCAGCCCAGCAAAATTGCAAATCTAGAGACCCGTCTCCTCATCTATTCATCTCATCCCACCATTCATCTAAGATTGATGCGAAATACAGCGGCACAATCAGCCGCGTTCATTGACGTTTAATACCTACTATAACTCGAAATGCTCTTAAAATCACGAATAAACGAATAAACGAATAGATGGATGGTATGCTATGGTATGCTATACTATGCGGCAGCAGAGTGTTACATACATCAGGTAGACACGGAATAGTAAAGTATCTATGTACAATAAAGTAAAGTACCACCCCTCGTGCCATTGATACTCCAAGCCTATTTATTCCCACCACGAAACACCGTACATAGCATAACCTTAAACCATTCCACACGAAATCTAAGACCAGCAGATCTGATCCCCGAAATAGCCAGATCGTGGCAACTCGGTATATTTGTGACGCTCGATCGCCGGATGAGGAGAGCTGTATAAACGCTTGCTATTACCAGAATCAGAAGTCTCGCGAGGGAAAAGTTGGATACTAAGCGGGAGATCGCTCCTCGGGATTTTGATGAGGGATTCGAGGGGGATCTAGGCTGGTAGGTACAGTAGTACTCGAGTACCTTCGTGCAGCCTTACGAGTGGAACCCCCTTCTCATCAATGATCAATGATCACATATCGATGATGGTCAGAAGGTTGAGAAGGTGGGGGGGATATGGACCAGGTACAATACAAGGAAATACTGTACTCGTAGATATATAGATTGATATCTTTACTAACGACTCAAGTATGGTAATGCTGGGACATGTGATTAGTTAGCCATAAATCCATGTTGCACAAACTTGACCCTATAGAAAATACAAACAACAAAATAGCAACAAACATCAGCTAAAATCCTTTCTCTAGCCATTCCCATCCACTGTTTTCCCCAATTCCTTACCCAGTTGGGCTGAACCAAGACCTTCTGTATGTACAATACCAGGATCATAGTGGGGTGTTTTGCATAACCCGGAAACAGGGTTCGAGAGTCTCGACATAGACTTTAAGCCAGACAAGGATCCTTCTAAGCGTTCCACCAAAAGTGTCCCATCCATCCATATCCATATGCCCATCGCATCGCATCGCCTACTTGCCTCATTACTTGCAGTACCATACTAATAAAGGCGAAAAAGGGCCCAAGATAGAAAATGTCTGGGTAGCTTGGACTTATTTTGCCTGCATGGCCCTGACAGTTTGCTACCCTCCACATGGATATAGATGGTTTACCTTACATATGTTATGTACATTTGCGATGCTTATGCATGTGCGTAAGATCACTTGCTGACAGTAGCTTAGGCTGGTTGGGATAGATGGCCCTCGATTGTAGTAGGTAACCCTTAGCGGAGGACATCCCAATCCATTAATCCAGATTGGGGCACCCGGCTCAAATATCTACTTAAGCCTCCAGCTTCCCAAGTGTGTTTTGTGCAGTTCAGTTGCTTGCTTAATCTACTTTATCGTATATATAGTACTCTAATATCTATCTTTATCTCCTTCCATCCATTACTCGTTCAGCCTCCAGTCTCCCTCCCATCGACACGGCGAATAGATAATCTCACAAGAGAGAGATCTCCAGACTCACCTCATCATCTCATCTACCACCCATAATGCCCGTCGTCTCCGAATCTGCCACGGAATCAAGTCATGCATATACATACGGACTCTTCTCCAACATATCCACGCCCTACCTATACCTAAGCATATTCTTCTTTCTTTGCATCACAATCTTCATACGAAGGAATCGAAATGCCACCGCAAAATTACAATATCATTTCCCACCTAGCCGACCCTCTACCCCTATTCTCCTCGAAAAATCAGATCCGTTAAACACATTTTCATACGCAAACGAAAACGTAAATTTCCACACTACCACCAACGCACCTCACCCCAAAACAACCCCCCAATCCAGCACAACCTCCCTCGACCTCACCAACTCACCCACATCCATCTCAACCGCACAGCAAACCTTCTCTCGAGCCCCACCAGCACCCCCCTTCACGCCGCCCTCTCCCCTAGAAACTCTTCCCTACGCGGGATTGAACGGGGATATAACCTCCACACCTAGCGAAGCGCCTTCCACCCGCCGCCGCTCCTACACCAAGGCATCCAACCCCCAAACCAACTCTCCTGCCGTAACAGGCGAGATCATATCTAGCGATGGCTGGCGCCGCCACACGCGAGTTTTTGGGGGCGGGGTATGTGAGGCGTGTGCGGAGAGCGAGAGGAGGATGAGTGCGTGAGTGCGTGACAGGCTATGTGAAGAGGGGTTGGAGAATTGGAAGGAGGAGATTGTGTTGTAAAAAAGAGGGGGTGAATGTGAAAGAGAGAGGAGCTATTTAAAAGAGATGAAGAATGAAAAGAGAGAATAGCTAGCAGAGCTAGAGGTCAGAAACGCGGTATTGAGATAGCTATCCTATCTCACAAAGAGGTGAAACGAGAGGAAAGGAGAGGAGAAATCAAAAATCCAACGCATATACGAACGAGAATACAGATTCAACATACATGGCCAAGATGGATGAAATTTCACGTGATAGAAACGTGAAATCAACGGGGTGAGAATGCATATCCTCAGGACGATAACTTCTCATCACATCATCATCACATCATCGTCACCATCATCATACAAGAGCAGAAAAGCAACAAGAGAGGGCAACAAGAGAGAGAGAGAGAAGAAGGAAATCATACTATTACAATCAAAATAAAACAGCAACCGCAACCGCAACCGCAAACACAAACTGCATCGCATGGGTTATATGCATTTAGCATCTAGCATCTCCAACAGTACACAGTACACAATACACAATACTCGAGTATACAGGCGTCAATGAAACATATCAAGAAAGACAAGGAATACCTGCAAAGGAGGGGAGGTTTTGATTATGAATTTTTGGTTCTGCTTTTCCTTTTCCTTTTGCTTGGTTCTCTGATTTTCTGATCTTCTGATCCAAGGAAGAAAGGAAGAAAGGAAGGAATATAATATATCTTTTTATTTCTTTACCAAAATGCGTACATATATAATGAGGAGGTTTAGCTTATATTAGCATCATCTGTCTGTTAGACAATTAGGGAATCATAAGGTTTACGGTTCAATTATGAATAATGAAGAAATACAGATTTTCTTTAAGGTTACTATTTCGATTTTGATTTCTATTATCGGGTGTATTCTACGTTTTGTATATATGTGTATACAAGTGTGTGTATATATATGTATATGAATGCCCTGATGTTGAGTATTTCAAATGTATACTCGTAATACACGTAATACTTGTATAGTAGTATACTCTTATCTTATTGAATTAAAAGTATAATATAAGAATTGGTAAGGGATGGTATACAAATATCATAACAAATGAATATACACCTGATCTAAAATCTTAATTCTTGTTGTTTCTGTTCTCTACTTGTACAATCCTTTTCCATTCAAGACTTTGTATCTCCATCCCAGACTTTGTACCACCGGTGTCCTTCCCCGTCCAACGCCACAAAACATGATTTGCTTGAAGTAATATTCCTCCTTAGTGATACACCTTTCCCCCCAAAGTATCCAATAATAAAAGCTATGTATGTATTATACTGTAGTACGTAGCACCAAAGCCTGCTATGCCAAGGAAAAAAAAATGAAGACAAAATTTAAATTTACAGTAATGAGCGAAAATCTCATTCAATGGCACTCTCCGACACATTCCCATTTGAGCCAAGATTCGCTACGAATGAATTCCTTTGCATAGCTTCTTGGCTTTCTTCGAATTTATGCCAGCCTTCCGGATCATTCTCAACGAATCTCTGCCGAAGAATACTGGTTTCGTTGTTCAGCTCAGCTATTACCGCATCTGGACCCATGGCTTCGATTTTGTTTCTGATATCTTCGCCTTGAAGGTCCTCAACCATGGATCTCAAAAATTGTAGATGTGCTGGTTGGATTTCGTGCCCCGTGGTTCCGTGAAGATTATCCTCGCCTTCGGGTTTAAGAATGTTACGACGAATCTTCTGTCCAAAGCGATGCATTCTGCCTTCTTCCTGGGAAAGTGCTCTGGAAGCCAATGAGACATCAGAGTTATGACGGGATAAAGTAGGACGAATTCCTCCCTCGTCATGTCCTCCCTCTTCATCTGATGGTAGATTATCGACGAGAACTGGTTCTGGTTCAACGTCTAATCCTCGATAGTCAGTTTGAAGTGGGTATGTGTCCTCTGTCATGGTTATTTGCTCTGTATCGGGAAGTGACGGTGACAGGCGCGTCTCAGGATATTCATCTTCGAATCTCTTGATCATATTCTGTAATGTGTGATCAAGGAATAGTAATCGGTCTAATTTGCAGTCAGCTTTTGTCAAGGTACATACGCATAGTGATGAATAATTCTTACTGTAATTCTGGTGATCACTAGCCTTCGATTCCTTGACTAGGGCAGGTTGTAATCGAGCCCGAATCTTCCTGGCACTCCCCAATAAATTCTTCGACATATCCTTGGCTTTGCCACTCTTCACAGCAGGGTTCGGAGCGGCCGAGCGGCTGCTCGGCCTAGATAAATCAGAGAACGTTCGATCAGCTGATGGCCTCCTAGAATCATTCCCTTTGTTTCGTAAACAGATACCCAGGGCTTTAACAACACCTGTCCCGCCAATCACATAGTCTTCGTCTGGTGCAGGTTCATCGTCATCAGGACTTTCTTGGACTCCTTCTATGTGCCCCACAATGTGCAACAACACTTCGGGAACTGCAACATCTTTTCCATTGGCAGCTATATGGGGATCAGAGATTGCCGCAACGGCTCCACTAATCTCTGCAACTGGGCCGCGTTCCATATTCCACAGGCAATAAGCGACGACTTGCTTAGCTAAAGCCTTTACGATTTCGGACGAATCACTCGACGGAACCTCAATATCAATACACACGATTGATTCAGACACTCGGACTGCGGCCATAAGTGAGGCATATAATGCACAAGCCTCCTCCTGACTTGCTTCGTCTTTCGCATTTGCGAGGGCAGCTAGTTGCGTATTTTCCATAAGAGTTACATGCGCAAGACTGGGGCTCTCTGGTAAGATTTCCGCTAGGGCGATGGCTTGTTCCGGTGTCATGGATACATCTGTCAAATGTATGCGCTTCAGTTGAGGCAGACGTGGTAGATACCTGTGATATGTTAGCTGATAATGGCCTGTATGACCGTACTTGGAAATGTAATGAGAGTAAATTTTAAAAGAGCTGAGAAGACCATCGACTGAAGCCACGCAGAGCGAGTTGCTGACACAAGTGAAGCAAATTACTGGTCGGGGTACGAGACCGTATTAGTCCCACAGCAATGGCGAATGAGATGTTCTATGCATCTAATAAAGTCTTTTACGACAACTTGCTATTCAACGCTTTATGATATTTCCCGGCATACAGGACGGCATATAGGGATGACGGAGACTATAGGGCTAGATACGACAAGGATTGGCATTGAAGGTCATCATGCCGAAACATGCGGGGATTACTAATCTCCAAAAGAGCATGTATTATTTTAATACGAAAACAACGGAATAAATAGAAAATGTTAACATACCTGCGCAAGAGAGAAAGTGCACTGGGTTTTGATTCGAATAAATCATGGTTCTGTGATAAGTCGATGAACTTGAAATTCTTCAGCTTTGCGAGGGCTGGGAACAGTGGCCACAGCGAATCCGGATTGAGGTTACAGTCTGCCAAACTTAAGGCGTAGATTTTGTTGTCCTCATCGAGGGCATTCGAAATGGTCTCCAAAGAATCTCTTAGATCATTGCAACCAAGATCAAGGCCTTCGCAGTTGCCATATCTAATCCATCTGGCAACATGCTCCATCCCTACTGATGTAATCTCGTTACCCGCGAGACCAAGACGCCGTAAGCCGGATTTTATGATTCCATCGACTAATCCATCCAACTGCTGGCTATTGAGGCCACAGTGACCTAGATTCAACAGTTCGAAATTTGGACCAGCGAGTCGATCCCCAATGGCCCTAGATAACAAGCAGGAAACCTGGGTGCTCGTATTACTCGATTTACTATCGATTTTCTTTAAATCCCCAGATCCACTTGCAGGTGGTGTAGTGACACTCTGGGGGAAAGGAATCCTTGAAAGATCTAGGGTCTTCAATGATCGGCACATATTGATAAACAAGGAAATATGGCGCCAACCATCTTTACCAATTTTGCTATTATTTTTCAGGACTAGGCGTTCGATTATGCCACCTTGGGAGCATTGGCTATCCTTGCGGGTATGCGTTTTTCTACCATATGTTGGTAACTTGGCTGCCAAAAGACCAGCCAGAATAACACGAACACCTTCATCAGTGAGTCCGCAATTTTCCATTGCCAATTCTCTGACTGGAACTACAGCTAAGTAGTCCCCTAACGTGACAAGATCCGGCAATTGCAACCAATAACTCGAGAGATCTAATTTGTCAACAAGACCAGGGGTTGTAGCTGTTGCCACCGACGCCGTGAGTTGCTCAACGATCCTCTTTAATATTGGCGTTTCTCTCAACTGGCAGCATCTTCTGTATATCCGAACAGGATCCGTGGTAGGTGAGGCGTGGGTTTTCGGAGTTGCGGTATTCGGAAGGGTTGAGAGTGAACTGTCACTCTCATCAATCTTCAATTCAACCGGGATTGTACCGTTCGCCTCAGCAAGCTTTCGTTTTTTCTCCTTTCTTGCTTTTCGTTCTTCTTCGCTGCGCTTCTTCTTCTCTTTCTTTTTTGAATTGTCCTTCTCGGGTGGTGGAGAAATTTCCCTACCTTCCGAAGTGTTTTTGGAGGCTTTTGATTGGGTACTTTCGGGAAGATTTTCATTCAATGTGGGAAGTTTTGTCATTGAAACATCGTCTTGTTCCGTCTCGGCCTTAAGACTATTCGGATTCTTCAGCGCAGCCCCTTCTCCCTTTTCTTTAGATCGCTTCGGTTTTTCTTTACTTTTATTGTCGGCCTCATCGGAATCCTCCTCGTCTATGTAACGAGCACCGCTTGCTATCTCAACATCGACACAGAAAGCTACTCTTCGCAACTTCGACTGTTCAAGCCCGAATATGGGACACCTTTCTCGGTGAGGATCGACATTCAAAATCTTTCTTTCGCACAATCCATTGTGACCTTTAGCTGATCCGGACAACTGTCCACTCGAAGACGACAGCCTTCGCAACGCACTTTGTAAGAAGCTGGGACCACTTCGTGGGGGTGCCGGAACATAAGGTGCATCGCCATCCTCCTTTACCCCGTGTACCAATACAGCATTCTTTGGCGCACTTGGTCCTGCAGGTCTTTGTATCGGAGGATCTATAGGAAACGCCGCCGGAGAAGTACTGGGAGAGGCGCTCGTAAGGTTGGAAGGATGTGTTCCCGTGAACTTCGAAGATATACTCGATAACCACGAATTTCTGCGGGACATGTTGGGTGCTGTAGAGGCTTTAGGTGGTGTGCCATTAGCCATGACTATCTTTTCTGAAGAAGCATTTCTAGGTACACCGGATCGAGTTGGAATCTGCTGTGGAGTTGTCGCCAGCTCGTTCTCGTTCTTGTTCTTTGAAGGGGTGGAGCCATTCTGTGGAGTCGGGCTTGATTTGCCTTGTGAACCAGATACATTCGGAACCATTCGAGGTCGTTTTAAGTCTATAATAGATAAATCATGTCAGTCGCACATACATAGCTGGCAGATGTTCCAATTTATTTTGACTTTCATCTGAAGTATGACTTCAACTAACCCTTATTACTTGAGCTGTGTGTCATCCAACTGACGTCCACGCCAGTCATTTGTTCCATTGTGTAAATATATCCTCGAGGTATATCCCCCACTATGCGTATTGTCGAAAGATGTTTCCTAACTGATCTGCGAGAGAGATCTATATCTCATAAGTGGTATTCGCAATTAAAGGTTCGTTATCGCTTCTCTATGTCTCGGAATATGCCTCGTTATTGGTACTATTGGCACAAATCCATGATTGTGTTTGTGCCACAACTGAATGTGACTGTCGGTGAGGTGAGGTGGAATAAGTCAATTTGTTGAATGAATACAAGCCAAATGCCACAAAACTAAACAACCGGTATCGGTATGTTGCTCTGTTGTTGGTGGTTTGCGATAGTGATCAGACACTCTTACAATTGAAGCAATAGAGTGGAGCAGTGGAGAATAAGAACACTGGTATCGTCATGCGTTGGGACTTGGCTTGGGGGGGGGTCGATCTGGTCGTCGGGGGGGTCGGTGCAAGTGAAGTGGGGTGGGTTTAGTTCGGTATCAAACCTCGGTGATTCGATTTGATTCGATGAAACAGAACAAAACAGCACAAGTGGTACGAGAATCAATATGAGTAGCGATGCGAAAAGAATATAAAACAAGTTGTGAGAGAGAATTTGATTTGATTTTAATCTTACGATAAAGAGTCAAGAAAGGGGTGGTGTCACTTGTGTGGTATGACAGGGGAACAGCCATGATGATGAGAAGGAGGTTAAACCTCCCATTTTGATACAGGTTCTTGAAGGGGTCAAACCATTTGCTGAAAGGAGTTCTGGAAAGTTATCAGTACCTAAGCACTTTACTTATTGATAACTCTGCTTGGAAGGGAATAGTAGAAAAGATCAAGCAAACGACGACATCTTAAAAGTAACAAGTAACAACGCAAGTTAGAAACATAATCATTCATCATCACCCATCCTCTTTTTATGATTATTAAGGTTCATCATTCATCAAGATATTATGTTCTAACAGTAGCAAGGATGTGTCATTTTTATCACCTGGCTAAAAACCCCATGCCCGAATTGTAACAGCTTAAAAAATCAACCTTTACTTTAATGCGGCAATCTTGACCTTGACTCTCTCGCGCTTCTCGTCCTTGCTCAACTTGTATCCCTTGAACTTCAAAGACTCTGTCTTGTACTCCTCCTTGGTCTTCTTCTCTCCCTCAACCTTCTTGAATGGATCCTCACGGATGTTCTTGTGAGCCTCTTGGTATAACTCCTCCAATCCATCGGCCTCTATCTCGTCATCAACGTAACCTTGGAATTGAGACTTGTAACGCTCCTCATCGTCATCGGCGAGGGTCTCCATGTACTCAGCGATGTGTCCACCGAAGATGTATTTGCGGAGAGTTTCAGCATCGAGCTCCTTGCTCTCCATGTCGTAACCTGGGAAACGGTTCTCGGAGTGGGGAACGAGGATACCACCATCGGAGGCACCCTTCATGGCACCAAAGATACGGGCACCAGTGGAAGTGCGTTGAAGACCAACATCAAGGAAGGCCTTGAAAGGACGTCTCTCCTCATCACCAGCGGCCTCGGTGAGTTGGTACTCTCCATCAGCCTCCTCAACACCGGTGAAGTCCTCATCCATACCGAGCTTCTTCAAGACACGACGGGCGATGAGAAGACCAGTGCAGTATGCGGCAGCCCAGTTGGTAAGACCGTGGTCGATACCGTAGGCCTTGAGCTCGTGGGAGTATGCGGCGCAGAAAACCTTGTCACCAGTGATTTCGGAGGTAACGATTTGCATCACGATATCGCGGTTGGTGAATCGAACAACGAGACGGTATTTTGGCGCATTGTACTTGTTCTTGGCTTGGGTGATGAGACGCTTTCTGGCGTAGTAATCGGTTTTTCCGGAACGACGGCGCTTGTACTTAGTCTGGTAGCGACTGATATATTGTCAGAATCGCATGATAGAATTGGATCGAAGGATAATTGAACTCACCTATAGTACGCGGAGTTCTTGGCCAACTTGCTGAATGTCTATATAGATTCCCAAAAGTCAGCAACCTTCAATTTCTCGAAGCATTTTGCTATTTGACCTTTTAAGGATCTGGGTCATGAAATGCCATGATCGCAAATGTACTGCGACCACAGAATGCGATTCAACTCACCATCTTGATAGATTCTATTGTCGTTGAAAGTTGGAAGAATCAAATCAAAAGAGAAATTTGAAAAGACCTTGACTCCAAATTTGTGTGCGAACTTTTCGCTTATCGGCATTAAAGGTGGGGGACGATGGTTATGATGCCTTAAATTCGAGGTTAAATAATACAATGAATTTGTGTAACTAGATAGCTATATCGGAACGAAAAAATTAACCAATAGATCCGGTATAAGGAGGTTTCCGATAAATCTAAGTATATCATAATGAGATTTGTATAGATTTTATACAAATATATCAAGAATAATTATATAATATTTAAAATATAATATAACTAATCTCAATCGAAGATTCTTTAGACTATTTTATTTAAAATGAATTATCAATAATATCAAATCTGATTACTAATATTATATTCGATTAAACCAAAAAAAATTAATATTAACATTATTCGTTTTGATATTATTAGTGCATTTTGATATTATTGATATATTTGGCAATATTATGGCTTCTCTCCTCCGGCTAGGCCAACTCCTCAAAGGAAGAGCAAGCACGTACCAAACAGCTTCACGAATGCATTTGGCTGGCAACGTATGAGATATATCTATCCTGTGCTTTCGAGCCTCGGACTGACTACCGTATTAAAGCAATCTGAGCGATCAAACCGTCGTGATCAAAAGTGTCCGTCATTTCCGGCTTGATAACGAGCGCGATATTCTCAAACGCTTCCAATTCCGGACACCTTCTCTCCGTCCACTACTCGACAAGATAGAAGATCCGTCTGACCCGCCTGCACTTGTGCTAAAGCACCTCGACGATGATCTCCTGAATGCTTCGGCGGCCCAACGGCTTACTCGACTCGAGATCAAGCATGTCGCAAAATGCGTCCAAGAAGCTCTAAAGGTTTTCCATGAGGATGGTTATGTACATACAGGTATGAATCGTATCAGCGCACCTACTTGCAGGAGAACGAAAGTTCTAACCAAGGCTGAAATTCAGATATTAAACCCGATAACGTCCTGGTAAACTACGGACAAGGGGACATTCGTTTTGCTGACGTTGAATTGGCCGACTGCGGAAGTACAGTGCATGTCGATTCTGTCTTCGCAAAAGACCGTGATATCATCGGGGCTCCTATATGGCGGAGCCCTGAAGCGCAGCTCCAGACAGGATGGGGGACTCCTACAGACATTTGGTCATTCGGTACGATGGTGAGTTTCTTTCTATAGCTCTAGCGCTCACTTTTTTATCTGTATACCGCTGCTTACAGATCTCCGTCCATGTGCAGCTTATAACCTTGATTTGGGGCGAAAACTGGTTCATCTTTAAGCCGGACGTTCCGGCCGACCATGAAGAATACGAGTTGAAGATTCTTATGAAGCAACATCAGTTTTTTGGACCATTTCCTCTGTCGTACCAAGAGATCGCAGACGATGAGACGTTGGCGATTCTAACCTACATCATGCATGGCGTACCACCAGCGGAGATGAAGCCTTTCGGGCGCATTGCTGAGCGAGAGATTTAAAAAGAAGATAAGGCATTCATACTCAAGATCATGAAGCTAGATCCAAGAGACAGACCTACGGCGAAAGAATTACTGCAAGATGAATGGTTTGCGTCAGTATAAATGCCATCTCGGATGCAAAGGGGCGAAGAAGCCCGGTCCTTGCTTGCGGAGCTTTGGATAGACCGAAAGGAGAGCAAAGCCGAGAGAGTGAAAACTCAGAATTGATTTGCTATTTGTAAAGGAAGGATACCCACTGCCGGTTCAGTTCATGGACTTTGGATAAGTTTGAGAATCAGGTTTTTGATATCTATGTACAGTTGTAAATTTAAGTGGGTAATGACAATTGGCAGCTTTGCAGACCCGTTAATTCATTTCATGATATCATCATATCGCCCAACAATCCCACGTATTCGCCCATTGCGTAACAACCAAGCGCCTTAGAATGCTAATTTCTCTCACAACTGCCAATTGCTATCTTGCCTGCCTCAATCAACCCATTATACATTACATTAGATCATCGCCGTAGAACGTTCCAGTGGAGATTGCTCTATCCCTAGGAGAGAACGCGGATCGGAACTCATGAGCCAACGGCTTGCTGTTCTCGAACTTGATTATCTCGTGGGAAAGATGAACAGAACACTAAGTATTTTTAATTTTATACACAAATCATATACAAAATCAAAATCTCATATTTTAAACTTTAACTTTATTAACTTTTATATAAATCGCTAAAATTCTGAAAATCGGTACCTAGCCCAGTAACTATATATTTTTGAAGTTTTTGAAGTTTTTTATTCAATCGATATAATTGAATAAATTTTAATCATAGAATCTTTAAAAAGGGTGGCCCAAAAGGAGGGGGTGACCGAAAAGGGGGGTAGTTGACTTACGATGTGTTGATGTGTTCGTCTTATTCGATATATTCACCCTTCTCAAGAACCCATTTTGTATCAGACATCACTCACACACCACATTTCCATCAAAGACAATGGCTCTGCGTCTTGGGACGACTCTTCATGGGAGCAAATACTCATTTCGTCTAGTTGAAAAACTTGGCGATAAGACTGTCTTCAACCCAGTGTTCAAGGCCGAGGTCTTGCCTGGCGTTCAGTCTATTCTTCCAAGAGATCGATGGTATGTCAACAACTCAATTGGATGTAGGAGTCTGTGCTAATTCTCGTACCAAGGGCTGTTGTGAAAAGCGCCGTTCTTGAAAATCAGACTCAGGTGGACTGTCTCGTAAAGGAATACAAGTATTACAAGAAGCCTTCTATCGAATCGTCTAGGAACTTTCGAAAGTTGTGTGACATTATCAACGACCCTATAGGTTGGACCGCTCAAAAGCCATTCTGTTTAGCCTTTGAATGGATGGATACTACCTACGCTCATGTGAAACTCTTTCGACGAGTCGAGTTGTTTGGGAATGCAGCTCAAAATGGGTGGTATATTTCATCTAAAGCTAAATATTGGCCAGAGACCGATAGCGCACAAGTAGAGTGATCGAAAGATGAAAAGCACTTTGGAAAGAGAGTTAAACAGTACGTGAAATTGTTGAAAGGGAAGCGCTTGCAATCAGACTTGCACTTGGTGTTCATCAGGGCTTCGTGCCCTGTGTACTTCATCAAGTTCAGGCCAGCATCAGTTTGAGTGGTTAGATAAAGGCCTTGAGAATGTGGCCCTCTTCGGGGGGTGTTATAGCTCTCGGTGCAATGTAGCCTACTTGGACTGAGGACACGACTCTGGCGGAGGTGCCTTTCGGGGAACACATGAAAGATCCTGTATTAGTCGCAGATATTGTCAAGGTATGCTTGTAAGCATTTGTCGAGCTAGAAAAAGAGCACCTTGTTTATTCAGGTATGCTATTCACCCCTAGAGAGTTCTATTGCCATTCACTAAGCAGAGCAGACCTGAAACCTGCGAATGTTCTTATATCTAGCGTTGACGGGCTGTCTAAAGTCAAAATTGGAGACTTGGGGCTAGGTACGAAGCACACATCGCAGAATTGGGTTACGCTAATTTTCTGTAGCGGGACCAGAGGGCGGGAATCCACGCTGGGTTCAGCCCGAAGCATTTCGTGCTCCTGAGGTCTGGACAGGGGTGAGCTGCTACCATAAAGCCGATGTATGGTCTATTGCTGCTATGGTTAGTTGCCAGCCTCTTATTCTAACCCAAACTAAAGAAGGAAGATGTTACAACGGTTTGATCCCAACATACTGGGCAATGCCGACAACATCGACAAGACGCGTATTCACCCAATGGCATGGTGCCTAGCGAAGATTATACTCCTCTTCGATCCATCCTGTAACTCGATTCCTCCTCCTGATGTTGATAAGACCTTACAGGCCTATTTTAAGTTAGCCCAAAACCTTACGACAACACAAGCAAAGGAAGATTTGGACGAATTGCTTTTGCAGATTCCTTCATTTGAGGTGTGGGCCGATCTAGCTATGGACGCCGGCATCCCGAAGGTAGTGCTAGACGTTATACGCCTTTTGGCCGTTCCTAACCCGATGAACAGACCTTCGGCGTTGCAAGCTCTTCAATCACCCGAATATAAGGCCCTCCAGAAAGCTGCCGCTGCGTATGTAATTTATAACTCTCTCTTAAGATCTGGTATCCGATGATTCCAAATGGACACTTGGGTTCGAGCTGATGCAATGATGGGAAGCCCTAGAGGTCATGTTTACAGAAGCTCTGCGAAAGCAATACCCAAAAGGGACTACTCCTGGGTAGTTGACTTATTATTGTTCGCTGTGATCATTTTCGATTGAACGAGATTTGTAATCTTTGAATTTTCACTTTATCATACCTAATTATCATGACATTATATAATGTATTGTGGATTAACAAGGATATAAAATGGATATAGTAGATATAATTAATATGCTGACTAAATTGACCTCATCGTCATTATCTAAAATAATCTCAATATTATCAGAGGCAACGACAAGTGAGATGGATTTCATTAGATCAATGGAGATCACATGTATGAATTTTCAGCCACTTTCCAGCCACTGAGTATTAACCATACCTAGGTAGGTATTCATTCATTCTATGCATCTATGCATTTTAAACAAACTATTGCTGATCGTCGAAGAGAAAAGAACAAAGAACAATACAATGTACGTACATGATTGACAGTGATGTATGGTATGCTCAATGACACCGATACAGGAAGAAGGAATCATAAGACTGCACCTCCTTAATTTGAAAACCTTGTCGAAGAAAATGAAGACTGAAGACTTGGTCTACCTATCTCGCAAGGTGGTAGGCATCAACGGTAAGGTGCAGAAGGGTTATCGATCATCGATACATATCGATTGACTGATACACAACACGATGCATTGAAACGGGCCGCAAAAGAATGTCGGCAAGCCCTTCAAGCACGTGAAGAGAAGTCTTGGTATGAAGTTATCTTGACCTCGACGACTCCACCTCGTGAAAATTGAACACATCAACATACATAAATTGATTACCTATATCACCATTTTGAATCGATTGTAACACAGAGTTTGGGATAATCATTTCTTTTTGGTCACATTATCACGATCAGTTCCACTTTCTCTTTCTCTCATGCAAAATATTCACTGCTTTTGCTCAAGATTTCATGTGGGCTCCATGTGGCTCGCCTACAAGAACAATACGAAGGTATCACGAACAATACTAAGGAAAACCCGCCACAAACAATATAGACTCATATTTCTGAACGGCCGTGAAATGCTAGTGCTTGCAGACCTATATCCTCCTGTGATTGACTTAGACTGAGTGGTCTAGGTTAAAATTAGCTACAGAATACTTACCTATTCTTTCATTTACATTATATTTAGATCTCCCATTATCCTTTCGTGTTCAAAATCGCATTTTAGTGTGGACTCTATCGGTAAAATCGAACAATACTAAGGAGAGTTTTCCATTGTTCTTAGCTGTGATCCTACTATGATGCTATCAAGACCTTGATTCTCGCCAAACTCAATATTATATCCACAATATTATGGCAAAGTAATGCCCTTGCTATTATCTCGAGACACTGTCGTTACGAGCACGGCTTGTGGTCTCGCAACTATTTCAAGTCTCCAAGACTACCTGAATATAGACCCTTCTTCCCCTCCTACAACAAACTCGTCAACCCATACTTCCAGCCTCTTCAACTTTCCTCCTCAAAGTAGAATCTATCCGATTCATCTACCATAGCTATCTTTGCATTGCTTTCTACGTTTCTCTTTCGACATATCTACTATTTTGATAGCTGAACCATACTTACGGCTTACCACAATTCCGAAAACAGTAAAGGCAAAGATGGCTTCCAATGATTCCAGCTTCGATCCACTCACCCAGAGCTTTACTATTCTCATGGCCGATGGCGTCACGACTGTGGCCATCACTCCTATCGACGTCGACTATTTCTACTACTACAATGTGGCTAGTTGTATCAACTTCGGTGCTCAGGCGGGAGCTTGCTTATTGATGTTTTTCGTCGTCGTCGTTCTCACCAAGGCAGCCAAGCGCAAGACCCTCCTCTTTGTGCTCAACATCCTCTCACTCCTTCTCGGCTTCCTCCGCGCTCTTCTCTTTGCCATATATTTCGTGCAGGGCTTCAATGAGTTCTACGCAGCTTTCACAATGGATTTCAGCAGAGTACCAAGATCGGCATATGCTACTAGTGTTGCTGGTAGTGTCATCCCTCTTCTTATGACCATTACAGTCAATATGTCTTTGTACCTTCAAGCTTATACCGTATGCAAGGGCTTGGACGACATATATCGATTTATCCTCACTGGTCTCTCTGGTCTCGTTGCTCTACTTGCAATCGGCTTTAGATTCGCCGCTACGGTCGTAAACTGCAAGGCCATTTTGTCAACAGCTGCTTCTTCTGTGCCGATGCAATGGTTGACCAAAGGAACACTTGTTACGGAGACAATTTCCATTTGGTTCTTCTCCCTCGTGTTCACAGGAAAATTGGTTTGGACTCTTTACAATCGTCGAAGACATGGATGGAGACAGTGGAGCGCCGTGCGAATTCTCGCTGCTATGGGAGGCTGTACGATGATTATCCCTTGTAAGGTCTCATATTTCCATTCCGGTACGAATGTAAACTAACCGTGAATAGCCATATTTGCGGTCCTTGAATATGTAACCCCTGTGGCACTCCCAGAAGCAGGAACTCTTGCTCTTACCATGGTCGCACTCTTACTTCCCATCTCTTCACTTTGGGCCAGTATGGCAACTGATGAAGAAATGTCTTCTATCGACCTGTCCAATCTTTCCGGTATGGGTAATACAAACGTTTCTTCTCAGCCAAACGGGAGCTATTCACGCAAGACATACGCTAGCGATATCACGGCACAGTCCTCCCGACTCGATTTCCAGTCCAGAAAAGGAAGCAGCGCCACAAGAAAGGGCAGCAACGCCATGGAGCAGGTTACTACAATTGACTCCGCTGCGGATAGTCAGGCAACATATGTTCCGCGAGATAGCACGGAATTGGACCTCGAAGCTATGGGTGTTCGCATTGATAAGTCATATGGTGTTCAAAAAGCATGAGTGGATTTGGTTACAGTTACGCATGATAGATACCCTTCAGTTGATTACGAAGATAGGTGGAGCAGTTAATGGAGGTGATGGATATATCCAGAACAGAAATCCGGGGGTGATTTAGCATTTTTACAGGTACAAAGCGAATCTGACGTATGTTTTCTTTCTTCAAATGCATGGTATTAATTTGGAGGTCTTTTTGAATAAAAAAGATCGTTTTTACACATCCACGGTTCTTTGCTCTTGATGCCGCACCTTCTCTCTTATTTCGTTTGGTAACTGCCAGTCGCGACTTCCTTTCTTCATAATGACATCCCACCGCAAATGGAAAGAGTTTCCCTAACCAGTTCATCGTATTGTATCTTGATATAGAAATCATCAAATAACATCGCAACTTCATATTGTCATTCGTTCAGCCGTCTTTTCATACAACATAACTATTTCACTGCTCCGTGCCAGTGATCATATCATAGTATTCTCTACTATTTGATTTTGATTTGAAGTATTAACACGACCAGTGGATGCAATTCCATTGTGTCAACTATGTCATATCATGAATCATGGGGACGTAGCTGTTATGATCGTGCTGGCTTTCGCTCCCAAATTAAATTTCCCAATGGGAAATCGAGATCGAGACCTTCTTCTACTGATGGCCCTTCTACTCCTCCTCGTGGGCGGAGCGATAAGGGCACTAGAACTTATTACCGGTGAGAAATTCTTCGTCATGTTGCTTTGGTTAACTCGACTGGCCTCGAATCGCAGTGATATTTCGCAAAATGCTGACAAGAGGACTCGATTCTTAGGTCAAAACCCGCTGTAACATCAGCTCTTCGATGTCTGGTGGGCAAATTCGAGGCCATGGATGCTCTGAGTCTTCCAATTCTAGATGTCACACTCCAGCCGGCGCCATTGCATTCAGCACGGAATTCTCCTAGGAGGAGAGGTATAACCCGAGATTCTTCACAAAGGCGGTTGTCTACGATTCTGAGCCCGACGAGTGCAGATTTGTCCAAGGATGACGACGTCTTTATTGATGGATACATGGGACATAATACATGGGGTGATACCCCTAGCAGTACCAAATCGACGATGTTTGGGTCCTCTAAGAAGCAATTTCAATCGCGACATTTAAGGACACCGCAATGGTCAGTCAAAGTTGCAAAGACACCATCGAAGAGTGCAAATCGAATCGTCTCCTCAAGATCTACCTCCAAGCATAGAACTATTACCAAAAGTGAACGTCCAGCATATGTACGACCGAAAAAGTCTCCAAACAAGAAGATAGGAAGTATGATTAAGGACAGGATACGATTCTTCGACGGAAGCCCAGATGAAGAGGATTTCTCAAGTCCTCCTAAAACAAGTCCCCTGAAAACTGGCTCAACTAAACATGCTTCGATGCGTGATGGTTATCATTATAAAGTTGAATCTTCTCCCGCTTCTTATGCAACCGGGGCCCCAACACCAGTATCCAAAGCGCCAGTTGGAGGTTCGGCCAAACTTTCGAGAACATCAGAACTGACACGAGACAAAAGTACATTTCCGTCACCTGCTAAATCGCAATATTCGCCGCCAACATCAAGAAAGCAAAGGAATGTCTTTGGAGAAGCAGTCCAAAATCCATTTTTAGCGTCTCAAGGATCGTCTGAAAAGACAATATCCTCGACGACTATTTCACCTCATACTTCACCAACGAAACAACGTCCATTCTATAGACTCAATTCGGAGACCACAGGTACGTTAGTCATATCTAAATTGGGGTTCTTACTATACCCAGCGAAAATCCTGGCTTCTTCAACCAACGAAGAAATTTAAATGAACAAGCCATACTGACTTTGGATTTTAGCCGACACAAGTCCCCGCGGCCGTTCACTGGCTCGATACGAAGTCAACACCACACCCACCAGAAGCTCCGACATACCCAAAATCTCAAGACCAAGAGGAAGAACGATTCCTGGCCCCAAGGACCCCAAGACGGACATACAGAAAGATATAGACACCCGACGCGACCAGATCAGTGAGAAAATCGAAGCAATCTACCAAGCTAAAACCGAAGAACGCAAAGCGCAAAGTCTGGAGAAGAATGTACCAGCAGAGCATGTCGAAGTATCTCCCATGCCGAAAAACGATGGGAAAGAGGATGATGTCAGAAGACCCCAACGAATCAAGGATACGAGCTCCTTTCGTTCCAAGTCGAAGGTGGCGGATATGAGAATGCGGTTTGATGGTGGTGCTTCTTTTGCTTCGCCCGTGTTGCCGAGCTCTGCATCTAAAGACGCAGAATGCAGAATAGTTTCGCCAATTAAGAAAGGGGAGAGTTCTTCCGTGATACCTACTCCTCCACCTGCGCCACCGCCTTCGGTTTTCTCATCGCGCGTTCGTGGGAAGAATAATAAGAGCGTTGAGCATATGCTTTCTATTCAGCGCATTCCTAGCCCTAAATCTCCTACGCCGCGAAAACAGACTCCGTCGCAGTCGCTTATGAAAAGAGTTTCTACTTTACCATTGGAGAAACGCGAGAAGACAGCGGTACCGGGACGTCAGGAAACTCCTCGGAGAGAAATTCTGGAAAGGAACTCGCCATCGCCAATGGCTTCTCAGCAACTTGAGAAACCAGCTCTTCAGACATGGCCTCGATCAGTCGTTACGAAACCTAAACAAGTAAAGAACGGTCTGATTGCAGATAAGCTCAGGATGTTTGAGGAATTCTCAAAGAAAAATGAAGGTCCTGTCATTAGCCCTGGGAAGGAGAAGAAGAAAGAAACGGAGGTTGATAGCAGTAAGCATATTACTTCCAGTAAAATCCCTCGAACATTGGTAGATGGCCGAAAAGAATGTTTTGAGATAAGTCCAGTGCGAAATGGAGATGGTGATGAGAGAAAACTAAACCCCGTGTTCCCCATGGCGATTGTAGCGAAGGGGACGTGGACAGGGAGAGATAAAGGGAAGGGGAGGGAAGATGATAAGAAAGGTGAGGAGGGAAAGATGGGCGGAGAAACATCCCCGGCTCCGAAGAGTAGAGGTGAAGAGAGGATTGGGAGTAGAGGAAGTAGAGGATCGAGATTGGGGCATAGGAGATATGTGGTGGGGAAGTGGAATGAGGAATCTTCAATGATGAAGGGTGGGGATGAGGGACTGGCGCATTTACCGGTGAAGAGAGGGTTGAGAGATGCGAGGATGCATATGGGGAGGGATGGGAGTAAGAGTATTGATTGGGATGAGGTAGAGAGGGAAATTGAGAGGGAGGGGGGTTTGATGGATGGCGAGTTGGAGGTGCTGGTTGGGAGGGGGTGGGGTGGGGTAAATGCAAGGGGAGAGGGGAGGGATAGGGATATTGGTACGAGTAGTGGAAGGGATACCAGTACGAATAGAGATAGAGATAGAGATATCGATTTAAATATGGTAGTCAAGGAAGCAGAATGCGGGTTAAGGGAACCCAAACCGCTGAGGGCGGTGGAAATCAAGAGGATGGTGGAGATTTGTAGGGATAGGGAGAGTAGTAGGAGGGAAAGGGAAAAAGCTGAAGAGAGAGAGAGGAGTAGAGGGAGAAGATTGGAGAGGAGGAAACATGGTTGATTGAAATGCTACTTGGCACTTTATGAAGGATGGGGAGAAAGACCGCGACAAACGTCAAAAAGGGAGAGGAAAGAAATTACAGGTATTGTGACCCTGAGAGAGATGAATAGGAAAGGAAAAAGGGTGTTGGGTGTTGAGTGAGGACTAAAGGTCTGACTGAGTAGGATATCTTTCTACTGTACTGGTTAAGTAGGAAATTACAAATAGAAATAAAGAAAGGAATAGCATACATCTGATGATGATGATGATGATGAATTCAAAATCCATAGAATTAGAATCGACGTTGGAATATGAATAATGATGAAGGGAAATAATGATCACGAAGGTTCACCTGCTACATTGTGCCTTTGTTCACATTTGCATTTTCGGGGCTGGTAATGTGAGGTGAGGAGGAATGTCATATAGTGATCGATGGGATTGGAAATATGTGAATTTAACTGACCACGTTAATTAGTTGCGTTGTGCTTGCTTTGATTTCCTGTGTTCGGGCATCTGTTCATCTTCTATCTCTTCCTCCAACGTACTATTCACAAATTCAGCTAGCCATTACCATTGGCTGTATCTCCTCGTCTTATTTCAATATCAATATTGATACCCACCCCCTCCGACCACCCTGCTTAACCCCATCCCTATCCCTATCTTCCTAATCAACGCCTTTTTCAAAAATAATTCCCTAGCCAACCCCCTCGTCATCTTCGCAAGCGTCGGTCCCGTGATCCTTCCCCTCTCAACCGCTCTCCCTAGCACATCAATAGCATCTCCTAAACTCCTTTCTTCGCAAACTAATTCGTACAATTGATTTCCTACAACTGTTGGAGCGACGAGCAGTTCGTCGATTGGGGGTGGAGTACGATGTTGAGAGGATTGGAGAAGTTGATCGGCGGTTTGGAGGGAGCTATGTAGGATTGTGGTGTTGGTGATAAGGGAAGTGGAGAGGGATTCGAGAGCGGACAACTCGGATTGCATGGTGGTGAGAGTGCTGAGCATAGATGTTTGTTGGGAGTGGAGACCGGGTAGGGAGGAGGCGGTTTGGGCGGTGTGGTGGAGACGTTGGGAGTGGAGGGCGCTGGCGAGTTTGTGGAGGAGCATATCTTTTTCTGGGTTGGGAGGGATGGGTGGGGCGGGAAGATTAGCGGAGGAGGCACCGGGAATGGAGAGAGTTAAGGGTGCATCGAGAAGGTCAGGAATTGGAGGTTTGGCTTGGGGTTGTGTTTGTGGTGGCTGAGGTTGTTGCTGCTGATATTGAGTCCGTTGTTGATGGGAAGTATGTCCAGGATACGGTTGTTGCTGTTGTTGTGGATGCATATATTGAGGCGGTGGTAAAGGGGGTCTACCATTTTGAGGAATAGGTTGTTGGATATTATTCGAGTTGTATGGTTGTTGAGGTTGTTGAGACTGTGTTGGTTGTTGGTATGACTGAGAGTGCGAGGACTGTCTATAAGGGTCTTCTGGTGGAGTTATTGGACTCACAGGACTATATGATGGTTCCCGTAAGTTTTGCCTGGACTGTTGCGGTGGTAGCAGAGGGGCACTCTCGTATCGTAGACTACTACTTCTTTGAGGGGTATGTGAATGCCTAATTGGTGACTGTGGCATTGGTGGTCCATATCTGCTATTATCATATCCAACTTGTGTAGGTAGTGGGGGTAATGGCGGCCCGTTGTCTCGTCGTGAGGAACCGGGAGGTGAGTATGGTACATCATTGTTTGTAGGTTTCGGGGGAGGAGGAGGAGGTCGTTCATCAGCTGATGGGCGTGGAGGAGCTGGACTTGGTATCGATCGAACTACATTGGGAGGAAGTGGAGGTATAGGAGGAGGTATAGCTATTGGTTGTGGACGTGGTGGGGCGTTTTGTTGCTGTCTCGATATGACAGGAGGTTCTTTGGCAAAAATGTCTCTAAGAATCGCTAGAAAATCGAGTACATTGGACTTCTGTATATTCCAATTCATCAGCACATCTGCCAAGCAATTTCATAGCTTCAATATGCCAGGTTGTGCGACTCACATCCCAATAGTCTGGCCACCTCATTAAATATGGATGGTAAACCTTCCCTTGCGGATCTACATGTTGACCTGCTCTCACTACCATTCCTTCAACTGGTGTCACATATACCAATGGAGCTTCTTGCGGATATGCGTGAGGTATCCATAATGCGATCGGGAATCGGTAGGTCGTGCCACGAAAATTCACAGGAAGGGTACCGGAGAGATGAAGAAGGAGTGAAGATGCGCCATTTTCGTATGCTATTGAGCTCGCAAATCAGTATTCAAGCTAATTGTATATTGTTACTGTTACATAAGCTGAGTACGTACTGTAGACATCCGTCCGCGGGGATAATGAGGTGTATTGAGAGAGGGTCTGGGCGACGTCATTATATGTACGATTCACATCTCGATATTCCTATATGGAAAGTAAGTATGACTAGATTGATCCATGCGCGTTCGCAGAATTACATACACTCGTAAGAACACTGTATAACCAGTTCAGAACTCGCTGTTGAACAGCGGCCATTATATTGGAATGGTGAGCATGAAGTAACCCAGCTAGCTAGATATTGAAGCTATTCAGAGCGGTAATGGGGTTTAGTGGAGTGGAGGGGCTTGGCTAGAACCTATCATGTGATGGGCAGATAGACTTGGAGAAGTTCAATGGCAAAATGACAGGTTGTGGATCGCGAGTCCTTGAAACATTATATTATTATATTCAGATCATTAGGATTACTGAGATTGAATCAAATTTTTGTTTTAAATCTATTATATAAAATTGAATAACTATTATGTATAATAGATATATAGTAATTCTTATAATTCACTTTTTTTCTATATTTTGAAATCTAAAATTTTAGTTTAAAATTAGATATTTATATTCGTAAAAAAAAAAAAACTATCGAGGATTTCAGATTTAGAGATTGTTGTCGCGATGTATTAAAAAACTACTAAGTAGTATTAAAGTAGTATCAAAATAACTTATATAAAGTATCAATAACAAATAATATACTATTAATACTAAAATAATTTATATAAAGTACTAATAGTACACTATTGATACCAAAATAATTTATATAAAGCGTTATTAGTATATCTCTAATACTAATAGTATACTATTGATATCAAAACAACTTATATAAAGTACTATTAATACATTTTTGATATCAAAATAACTTATATAAAATGCTATTAATATACTTTTAGTATCAAAATAATTTATATAGAATACTAATAATATTAGAGGATATCGAGAATACTAATAAATGCCAAAGGTACTAAGAGATATCGGGAGTATCAAGGGATATTAGGAGTATTAAGGGGTACCGAGAGTACTAGGGGTGCCAAAGATGCTGGAGGTGCTAGGGATATCAGA